TTTTTTTTTTTTTTTTTAAGTGGGGGATATTGTCAGTTGTAGAGTTTTTGTTGGGAATGCACTGCAGTTTAAGAGATTGTTTATAGGAAGTTGGATTCAGTTTATTATATCTGATTGGAGAACTTAAAGGGGACACCAGGCAATTATTATTGTTATTATAGTCATCATTACTATTATTATATGTATTTGAATTGTCTAGAGTATAAATAAACAAACACTGATATTATATACTGAGCAATTTGTTAAAATGCCCTTCAAGGCATCATTTTGTAAACTATTTTTTTCTATCTTGGGCATGTTATATCTAATTCTGCTTCCTAAATATCATTTGGATGATGTTTGCTTACCAAATTTTCAACAATCAGAAAGTTTGGCTTTTATTCACACATCAAGACTGTGTGTGTTGATGTGATTTAAATTTTCTGATTTTATGTGAAAATTGTCTAATGGAAATATTAGTTGGCAGGTACAATATACAGCAAATGCATATCCATTCGAGTTTGCTATGCTTGCCTCAGTATATTTCTAGGCTCAAATACTATTATAGTATGCTATATTTGTATGCTATTGTTGTAATTGGTGATATGATACTATGACATTTCATGTATTATATTTGTTAAATGTGATTTTTAAAATGTTTTGATGCTGTACAAATAGTTTTTCAAGAACGATTTCCATGAAACAGCATATGAATTGATAAAAGTTGGATTGATTTTATACATTCTAATCATTGACATTTCGTTTTACCAACATAACAGTTGGTGGAAAATGCTAATAAAGAACCAGTTTGAATGTGTCAGTATAAAGCAATAGCTTTGATCATGATAATATTACAGCAGATTCAACTATTACAAGATGTACACTGCAGCATTGTAATAAACGCACAGCTTTATCAATTCTGGATTTTCTTGCTGTTTATAAAGGTGTACAACTCAGTTTCAGCAGATCTAAAAATATGCTTATGTACGACACGGCTTTTCTTATTCCTCATTATGTGCTCATCCCGTTTTGAAATTCTCTCCAACTTGCATTTGCTTAAAAATGTTATCCTTTATAATGAATATATTATGAATTTATTTTGTAGATAATCAACACATGAAGCATTTTGCATTAAAAATTATAGCAAAAAAAAAGTCATGATTAATAAAAATCAACAAAATGATAAAATAATGTTTTATTTCTGATTAATCCTACAAAGTCTCTTTCTGCTATTATGACGTTGGGCACAAGGCATTTTTGCAAAAACTGTACTTGGGTTTTAACCAATTAAAACTGGTCAGTTATTTCAAACATCTTAATTTAAAATAAAGGAATAATTTGCACAAATTTTATCTTAATGTGTCAATAAATTTACACCAAAAATGCTGAAGTAAATAATCAATGATGCCATTATAAGACAGTCAGCTTAGCATATGAACTAGAATTTAATATTTGTGAATCTGCTATTTTGACAAATGGATTTAATTTTCATGCTCCGCCTACTAATGTAGTATCTTAGGCTTGGAAGCAAGTATATTATCTATATCTTGCAATGCTTGTTTTGATCTCTGCAGAGCCATTCTTACAGAAGTCTCCATATCCATATGCTTTGTCAAGGAGCCACCACCAGACCAGTTCTCTTGCTGCCCCGATACAGTCACATGACTGGTCACATGACTTGTCACCTGACTTTCTGGGTGTCGTCTGCCTTGGTTGTCAATTTTCAAATGGGTAAATGGATGGCTATTTTCAAGGATATCTGGCTTTGATCAAGGAACATTTTCAAATGAAGCATTTCAATTTATATATGTTCTAGACAATTTATTTTAATTTCTTAATTTCAAGTGATATGCATTTTTCATAAGGATACAATTGAAACACTGAATTTTCTTCAACTCTGACTGGATGGACCTGCAAAGCAAAAGTGATCATAATAAACTGTTCTTCAGTATAGTGCTGTGAGGTATCTGTAACAAAGTAACATTCCTATAGTGTCCCTATTTTCTCATCATAACATCTTTTACTTAAAAACTGCTGTATTACTGCAAGTATATTGTACAACTGTAATAACCACAACTGTGCTGAGACGGAAATTTAATTTTCTTACCATATCAATCTTCCTGAACACTTGTTTTACCTACCTTTGTTTCACTGGATCATAGACTGTGTCTTTGTAGAAATCTTGGCGTTCACCAGGCAACGTATTTACCCACTCGGCCCACTCTTCAGCCACTCTCACATACCTGGTAAAGACATTTACATCTTCAGAAATGTGTTTAATCTAGAAACTGTTCTCATTAATATCTAAAACAGAGTTTATAAAATAAGCAATGTAAAAAACTAATGATTATGCATTTGGACTTTTCTTTTCTGGAATATATATAATGGGACATATTTTGAAATTATATTTACATAACTTTGACATCATTTTCTGCTGCTTTGCATTATTACTTAAGTACCCTCTGTTATGGAAAGAAATCAACATTAATTAAGTGATATAAAAAAGTTATGCAAATATTTCATAAAATGTGTGCACCAGTGATATAACAAAAATATTTTTGTGTCTTATGGACCGACCCTGAAATACATTATTATCCTACATACTTAGCATAGTTGCCAGGTTGCGCAGCAGGAACAGTTTTATAGACACCAGATGGCAGTAGTAGTCGACACAGACCAGGGACGAGCTCGGAGGGTCTGCCCCTGTACATCAGTGAGGCTGAAGGATGTCTGGAGGGCTCAACCATCTGAAAGTATACAGCTCAATACTGACATTTTGAGTTTCCAAATACAGTGAAGTTATTAACCAAGAACTGAAGTATATTATGGTAAAACTGAAATATAAACTGCTACTGTGTTTGGACAGTAAACTGTTACCAGCTGGTCACAGAAATGTCTAATTCAATGCTTCCATGCTTCCATGGGCAAAGTTGGACACCATGGGCAAAGTTGGACACCAAAAGCAATATCTATTTTCATGTAGTAGTCAGAACTTTTGGATTCAAGATAAAAGTACTTACATATCACCTTACAAACTGCATCAATACTTCATATCTGTAATATTATCTGAACGTCAACTTCCCCATGTCTTGCAATTTTAAAAATACGAAAAGCGCAACACCAACAGCCAAGCCATAACATAATCATTACACAATTAAGCTACTAATACCAATGCCACCATTAGGAAGAAAACAATAATTATTATAATAAATCAACCTACCTGGCCAACTTTATCTGGGCTGTGTTTCTTACAGACATTGACGCGCCTGCTGAAATCACACAACATATTGAGGCATGTTCTATCTGTAAAGGTTATCCTGATTCTACCGTCAGAGTAAGCCAAGAAACGTCCTATCCCATCAACCTGAGCTTCTTCAAGGAGGACAGTGGATAATGGTTCATAGATTTTATCCATCTTTGGAGTTTCCTGAAAAAATGTTCTGCATTATTCAAATATAAATTACTGTAATGCCATAGGGAGTGAGAAAAAAATGGAGAAAGAACATGAGGGGGGGGGAAGCAAGAGAAAGCGAGAGAGAGCAAGAAGGTGGAAGAGAAGCTACATGTAGAATGAGAAAGAGGGAATGTGGGTAGGAAGAACAAAAGACAAACAGACAGCTGCTCACCTTCCAGCAGCAGTTTTCCTGTCCTCCACTAAGAGACAGAGAGTCCTGCAGCACAGAGTTCAGCAGCTGGGCCCCTGCTCTGATCAGTCTTCTCACAGAGTACCTGGCAAAGGCTGTGTCAGGTGGGGGAGTCTTCACTGAATGAACTCGTTCTTCAACCTGATAAATAATGATAAATACAGGGAAATGATGTGTGTAAATATGAAAAGCATCTTGTGTAACTGTTTCTTTGTGTGTACCCTTTGTAATGTCAATAAAAAAAACTGCTACTAAAAAGAAAAAGTTATCTGACATTTTTCTCATATGCAAATACTTGTTGTCCACTAGATAAAAAAGTTGTTTCTTTTACAAATTTTAATTTGATATTAAAATATTCTACATCACTGACAGGTTACCTTTCCCTCCTTGTAAATATACTGTGTAAAGAAAACTCCTGCTGCTCCCTGGGACCTGAGTAGTGACCCGTCCCCTGGATAGATCTCAATACAGGGGGAGGGGGAGTACAAACATCTGGGAAATGTATACATATTATAACATAACATGTGCATGAAGTAAGAAAATACAAAATTAAAAAATATTTATAAATAATTCAACTGTTTGTAAAAAAATGAAAACAAAAATAAAAATAAATAAATACATAAATAAAACAAAAAATTCTATGCAATAACTTGGCTGATACTGATAAGCAGAAAAACAGAAATATTGAAGATATATTTTCAACCAATTTGTTTATATATTTACCTGTAAACAACTCCTCCTATGCAAGCAACCTTGACCTTGCTCCAGAAAGCCCCAAGGTCAAGGTTAACCAGTGGGGCGTCTGCTGCCTTCCATTTGTGTAAGTGGAGAGCAGAACAGTTTGAGGGGAGAGAGTGAGGCAAGGAAGACTTTAATTTATACACATATTGTGATTCAAGCCAAGATCGATTTTGACTTCTACAGCTACACATATTTGCCTTGTAGTTGACTTTTTCCCCACTGCCCAATGACTTCTTTCCAAATTTGCAACCTTTCTGTGTGATGTCTGCATCTGCACTATCCTTCATTAGTTGACATGTGCAATTATCATTATGAATGTCACCGTCACTCTCTCCACTAGAATGTGCACCTTCCCGAGAATCGTCATCTTTTTTCAGACTTCTGTGCCAGATTTGTTCAGCCAGCTTGAGAGGCTGTCTCCAGCATTCTGGGTAATTTTTCAATGAAAAATGCTGACTCATCCACACATAGTCCCATTTGGATTTTCCAGCCTCTCCATGTGCAAGAGTATCATTACCGTCAGGCTCATCCATTACAGATATGCTTCTTTTATTCAGTTCTGGAGAAGCCGTCATGTATTCCACCCTAGATGGCGCCCTATTGTTGCCTTGGTGACCATCCTTATTATCAGCTTTGTAGCCATCTTGGAGTAGACTTCTAGACATTTCCAGACTTTCTGTGAGCTGTCTTGGTCGTTTCTGGCTGAGTTTTGCCAAGAAGTGGACAGTGAAATCTTGACCATGAGAAGACAGGACCAGGTGTGAAAACTCTGTAAGAATAAATAAATAAATAAATAAATAAATAAATAAATAAATAAATAAATAAATAAATAAATTTTCAGTAAACCAAACAGGAGAGAATAAAATGTAACAAAACACTTGATACTTGGACATTATACTTGGGATGTCAGGTGGGGAGCTTGTACAGAGATGCATTGTACATACCTTCATCAGCGATCACTTTCACAGACCCACTGTCCAGTAATGTCCACTGTATTGACTCTATAGTGGATGACCAGGACACCTCCACAATGTCTGCATGCAGGCTCTAAGATTTCATTCAATTTCATCAAAACCCATATGTAATGTTATGCATGGGAGTTTAAAAAATAAATGAGATTGCATTGAAAATGTTTTGTGCAATCAGGACCTATTTTACAAACAAGGCAGCAAAGCTGTCAAATGTACAGACAAAAAGCATAAAATAGTGATGCAAAAAAAAAAGATTATTTTGTCAATTTTAAGTAATATTACATAGTGCTTAACAACAAAATCATTAGAAAATGGTTGTCTAAAATTATAACTAAGAATGCATTAAATCATAACAAAAATGTCAAAATCTGGTACACATGTGACTTAACTTAAACTTAAAAACACAATAGATGTGTCAGAAAAAAATATGGAAAATGTGTTAGGTATGTGCGATCATACCAGTATGTTCTCTCTGGCAATGAGTTCTCTGCATAAATAAGGCCTCTCAGCAAATCTGTTCCTGAATTCCAAAGCTGCCAGTACTTTCTCCCTGAATTCACTGGTCACATATATACAGCGTTGCTGGATTCTTCTTATACCTGTAGAACATATATAAACATATTTAATCAAATACTGAATACTAGTAAGGTTGTTTTTCACACCATAAATACATGTAAACATTAAAATCATGTTTATTTATACATTTACTTGTTTGTACTCTGTTATAGTTAGATGTACTGTCTTTGATTGTACCTTATTTGTGAAGGTGTATCACTAAAGAATCCCCTACATGTTTGGAACTGAAATCAGTAAATTTATCTTAATTTGCTGGTTGCATTTTTTCCATACTTAGATAAAAAAAAAACACCAAAGTCAGTGTGATATAAATTATATAAAGATATTTTGAGGTCATTTACCAAAAATATGTACCAGAGGTGACTGTTACTGATTAATTCATGTGATGCTGACTTTTCATACTAGTAGTTGGGGGTGTCTCAATAGTCCAAAGGTTCATTGGTCCGAAAATCATGGGAACATTTTCATCGTTTTTTTAATCAAGGGTTCATTGGTCCGAAGGTTTTATAGTGAACTTTCGGACCAATGAACATTCGGACTACTGAACCTTCGGACTATTGCTACTGCCCCCTATCTGTATGTCATTACTCTCACCATGCAGTGTATGTTGCCCATGGCCAGGTGGTTGATCATGTACAAAGGCACTTCCACAGGGAGACATCTGGAGCTTACAGCCATCTGTGTACATCACTTCCACTGCATCATTGCTATACAGAACAAACTGGGTGGCTGCAGCAGACATCTGGATAGAGAAATAGTGGCTAATATAAAACAAATACCGGTATATACTGGTGCCTATGTAATGTAAATAACTTGGTGTTTAATAACATACATGTATATACATTAAATGATAATTCCGCTAACATGCAATCATGAATGGATATTTAAAAATTAACATTAGGCCACATAGATTTATTTTTATGGGTGACATCTATTGGGTAACCCAAAATTAATGCCCAAGGGGAACACCAGCTGCTAAATCCAGAAAATATGCATTAAGTCAGTTTCATAGGCCTTAATATAACAAGGTGATCAGTGCATTGTATTGTCACTACTGCAGGGTTTGAACCTTAAAGCACCTGCTGACCATACTGATGTAATGTTAACTTTCAGTAAACGGAATACATCAGTAATAATAAAGTAACACTAAATGGTATTTGCACTGTAATTCATTGAACTGAGAATATTTGTGCAATTTTTTTCTAGACCACTCCCCCTCTCTACCCCTTCCTGAAACAAAATACAACTTGAACTACTGGTACACTGTATATTGCTGTGTATAAATTTAAACAAAAATTTGTAAGAAAACGCCACCTTTTCATAAGGACGAAAACGTCCTGGTTTGGTATCCCCTTCAAATGTGACTTTTTTCGAGGTCTTGGTCGATATGGATTCGCCTTAGCCTAGAAAAAAGTTCAATAAACCAAAGTGTCAGTTTCATAATTCGCGCAATCCTCTTGAAAGTCGTTTTGTGACTTGTTCCTAAGAACAAAAAGGAATATTTTTTGAAGAAAGAAAGGCAGACTGTTAGTTTAACGTACATAAAATTATTTTCTAATAAAGAAAATTTACTAATATGGTACGAATTGGTGATAGATTTTTGGGTTTGTGGGAGAGATAAATACCCGTCAGAATAAACATTACAAGATTTATTTGCGGAGCAAATCACGTTCATTTTTGACAAATGGGGAAAACGTGATCCAGTCAGTGCGTGACTGTCCTGACCATGACCCAGGTGTTCACGTTATGTTTGTTTGGAAGTCAATTATTGCCACTGCTGATAATATTTAGCTTGTAGTTTTCTTTAAGGTTGTCACACCAAGACGCAGCGACTGCAAGTGACAGTAACGATGTCTGCATTAAGGCGTTTCATTATTCCTAAAAACATCCAAGCTTGTAGATCACTTTTTGGAAGAGCAATATCTCGAAATTTGGGCTCAGTTTCTTACTTGTCTGGGTTTATAAACAAAAGCGCACCGTCCAATATTCCCTGCGTTTCCACGGAGTTTTCGTCATTTAAAAGAGGTAAACGCGCATTAACAAACTGATCATGTGTACACTGTCTTGTTTAACGTTGCATTATTTCAGTCCAAATGTTTTATTTAAACGTGATTTTAAAGGTGGGATACGCCTGCAAGCCTGTTAAAAATAAAGCACAGCAGTGTTGCTTTTACACACTTCGATACAATGTTGATGAAGTTGGACTGAAAATGACAAAAAAATCCTCGAATAGTTGACGATGTGGTTGAAAGATATATAAACCAAATATATACAGTATAATATAAACCAAGGTCATTGAGGGAGATACTGCTTGGCACAAGGGCAAAGTAATGTCATTGTAACATGATTTTTTTAATGTTCCTTTTCATAGCTTTTTGTACAGAGAATAAAGAGCTCCCATGGACAGACCTGGACTATGAGGCCCTGTGTGTGTTACTAGAGAGTGGTAATATACAGCTGTTTGATGTCCGGAATACTTGGGAGGTGGAAGCCACTGGAATGATTCCCCAGGCCATAAACTTGCCCTGTGAGTACTGTACACAGTTAATTATTGTCAGAGAAGGAATTTCATCAGCTGTGTTTTGTCATAAGATTAGTTTTTTCTTCAATCAGCAGCTTCATATTGAAATAATTTACTTCCAATATTTCAATGTCTGACAGAGCATCTTTGCCAGAAATATTGGAGGTGAATTAATTAATTTCAATAATAAGCTGTTGATTGAAGAAAAATTTTATTTATTCACGCTTTATTATTGCACTATTCAGTCTGCAATGTAAGAGAAGAATTTCATCAACTGTGTCATGTGCTAAAAAATTGAAGCAGTAATTTTTTAGTCGATCAATAGCTTATATTGAAAATGTTGAACTAGTGCATCTATTCCATTATACTTTCAATACTTCAATGTCTATTAAGAGCACATTCCTCAGGGTGAATCAGCATTATAGCTTCACTACAAATGCCAATAAAACAAAAGCTTAAAACTAATGTGTTTATTAAATTAGTACCTGCTTGGTGAATGACTTATAAATGGCCTTATTAGTTATAGAGTGCCTATACCAGCTAGCATGGTGCCCCCATTGTGTAAAATGCCATTCTGTATTTTAGATATTCATTTTGCTTATATGTATTCAGCTTTGGCTCTATCGATTTTTTCCCTTTTTGACTCTGAACCTTGATTTGATATTGTTTAATTTGTAAGTGCGTCTGAAATCAGTTTGTTCTATTTCAGAAGAGTGTTAAAACATGTTGATGTTGTTTTAGCTATCACAGTCTGATATGTTGATATGTGTGTGTGTGTGAGAGAGAGAGAGAGAGAGAGAGAGAATCTTATCTTGATAGCTTAGTACACTGTACCCTACTTTATGTCTTTTTCTTTGAATTAATTACATGTATCTCCTAGTGCTTTTCTCTTTTATCTGGATTTTTCAACTTCAGTGGGAGAAATTAAGGCTGCTTTTGAGATGCCTCCCCATAAATTTGAAGCTTTATACAAGGCTGAGCAACCAGAGCCAGAAGATGATATCATTGTATTTTATTGCCGCTCAGGAGTGCGCAGTCGTAATGCAATGAACACTGTGCATGAACTTGGTTTTGGGAAGTGAGTGAAAAGCAGGTTGTTTTTGGTGTTGTGTCGAAAGAAGTTTTTTGTTTGGCACATTGGGTACATGCACCAGTAATTGTAGTGCTTTGTCTTGTTTTACCATACTAGAGGGATGTTGTAATGAAACAATCTGCTAATATATTCCTATGCCAGTGAGAAAACATTCTGTAACCCAAGAATTAAGGATTCTGATGCATTGCACTCATGGCTTGTTTTTGTAAAGAATTATGCTACATTGATGCTCGGCAGATAGCACCCCTTGGCGTTATATTAACACTTAGATTGTATGCTTGACAGCTTTTTCTGAGTTAATTTGAATAATATTTACATTTTATACTAACATTTACAGGTTTGATAGACTAACAGATGTGCTGTTGTGTTTAATGTTAAATATTTTCTAAATGTCTTATTTCTTATGACAACAGTTTTAAATACTAGTACTGGGTATACATAACACATTCTGTGTCCCAGATTCATTTTGTTAATTGCAGGCTTAAAGACGTCCCTTTCTCTTTAGTCTCATACTTTTCAAAATCTACAAGTTTGTCATTTTCTCTAATCTTTTTAGATTAGGCCACACTTTTTTTATTTTTATGGATGACATCCTGCGCGCGCACCGATTTTCATCCGTTCTCTGAACCCCCCCCCCCCCCCCCCCAAACGAAGTTGGTTGTCGCAAACGTTGTTATTGAATTTGCCGGAAAATGAGGTTTCTGCGCATGCGTATTATTGCCACGTGGAAACATGGCCACTTTGCCGTCACATTCATCTCTAGGATTAGGCCTACTTTCAAAATACACGACAATTAAAGTCATAAAGAGAATGGGGGCCAACGTTTTGGATTGGTTTGCTATTGATATTGGGCATGGAGATATCACGTTTCTATAATTATACGAAAGGCTGGCGTCAGCCAGCGATTATCGTCCAGAAAATTTCAGTGACATTCTGTCCAAAGCAGCACATACCAGGTTTTTTTGTAGCAAAAAAAGGGTCGACAAGAGCGTCGAGGTATTTGGTAGGCTGAATGTCAGACAGGCCACCCGTTAGTTTGGCTGCTTCGTGTGAGTCAATGTAGACAAAATGGCATCAACCGAAATGACCTTTTATAGATTTGGTAGTATTGCGTAAGCATAGACCTATTTTTGCATCATTTTTTTTTTTACAATTCTGTGAAGTGTTCATAATGCTTTAATATTCTGAGAGTACAAATAGAGACACACTGTTTATTTGATATTTGTTTTATTGATTGCTATACCAACAAAATGCATGAAATAACCTTAAATAGATTTGGTAATATGCAGCATATATATTCATGACTTTTTACTTTCTACGAAGTAGGCCCTATTCACAATGCTTTAATATTTTGAGAGCATGGATAAAGACATGTTGTTAGTTTAATACGTGTTTCTGTGGTAAATTAGTGTTTCCAGCTGTGAACTGACAGCATAACTTTTCTTAAGCAGTATTTCTTTTTTTTTGGACTGTTTTTTTTTTTTTTTTTTTTTTTTTTTTGCCCGCTTGCACCGATTTTGGGGTCCCCAGAGGATGTCATCCATGGAAATAAAAAAGTGTGGCCTTAGTAAAAGAAAAAAAAAGATACTAATTTCAGGAACCTGCTAGCTGAAACACCTGATTTTTTTTTTTTAATTATCTTGTTCAGTAAACTTTCCCCCATAAAGCTCCCCAGATAGTGAGAAAATAAGTCTGCCTATTTTCTCTCACACAGTGGATGAACTCGAGGAAGCACTTAAACTGCCCCCGGATAGTTTTATGGCAAAGTATGGGACAGAGCAACCTATGAAGCACGATGCTGATATTGTCTTCTCATGTAGAAGTGGGAAAAGAAGTCAGACTGCATATGAACTAGCTCATAGCCTGGGCTTCACAAAGTGAGTGTCCTATAGTGTAGAACAGTTTGCATGTTTCTTAGGACCCATTCCCATGGACACCAGCGGTCTACAAAGGTCAACCCAACTCTGCAGGGTCTCCCTCTGTCTGCAGTCAGGGATTTTTTTTTTTTTTTTTTTTACCTGAAAGAGTTGACTTAATTACCCCCATAATTGACCCAGTTTGAGAAATGTCATAGGTCCTGGATCAAATATTGATCCAAAAGGGCAATTCTCTCCCCCCCCCACCCCCTCCACACACACACATACATACACACACAGAGGATGCTTTCCTGTAGGATGTAGGTTTCTGATTATGGGCATATGAAATGGGGACAAAAGTATTTCTGTGGATTTTTTAAAAAATAATAAACTTTTCTGATGTACACAGAGCTTAAATTTCTAATGAGTTGTTTATTTCTTACTTGTTCACTTTCATCACAAAGGGATTCAACTGTTTTTTGTTGTTTTTTACTAATCTGCACATTCCTTTTTCAATCCCATTTCATAAAATGTGTTAATGTTTTTCAACTCAAAAACAACCCTACCCATTTCAATTAAACTTAATGATGTCATGATGGCTGTTAAATTATATATGAAAACACATTAAGACTCGGTAACTGATGACAGATTACATATATTACGTATATTAAAAGGGATAACAGCCCTTCATTTTGGTAGGAAAAAAGCTATTTATCAGAATAATACATTCGAATCTAAAAGCATCATTATTCATTTCAAACTTCATGCTTTGATGAATACTTATGATTTTTTTATGGGATGGTAAGGGCTTACCTTAGATCAGTATTGTGAAACCTGTAGCTCTAAAAGCATCATTATTCATTGTAAACTTCATGCTTTTGTAATTACCTTTGAATTGTTTATGGGATGATATCAGCAATGGACATGTTAACCGAAACAACAAAACTCCCATCTCAGTTCCAAAATCAAAAAGGTTGCTTTATTCAATTTCATTCAGATATTTATTACCAATTGCTAGTCAAAATAACATTTTTTCATGTGTACCTTTTTTACTTTCTGCTGAGAATCTCTGGAAGATAACTCTCACACACAATGAATGGCAACACATCTTTTACTTTTGACTTCATTCAAGTATGTTTGAATAGAATACTTCCACAGTCACTCGGCTTTGAACCCAAATAAACCATTATCATAATGGTAAGGGCTTACATTAGATCAGTTACAGTGTGAAAACAGAAGCTCGAAAAGTATCATTTATTTCAAACTTTATGCTTTTGTGAATACTTTTGAATTATTTATGGGATGGTAAGGGCTTACATTTAGATCAGTAGAGTGAAACTGGAAGCTTAGACTAATCCAGCGTATTACATTTTATTTTGCAGTGTTTCCTGTTACTTTACTTTTTATTAGTTTTAGTTAATATTGAAGACACCAGACCCATGAATAAAAAGTTCATGGTTTCTTTCGTTATTCGTTCCCTGTGAAAATGGAATGTTAAAAGATCTTGTTGCAGCTCACTTTCTGTTACACAGTAGCATTTTCAAATTTATTAAGTTTTTCCTGGATTATTTTATATTTGTACAGTATTATAATTTGTTTATTGACTTTTATTGTGGTAGGTACATATGTTTATTTGAGTGAACACTTGTGGTTGTGCATGATATATAATTTGTTATTTTGAAAATAAGAGTTTAAATCTTGCACAGAAAGAAATAAATCCAAAAAGATTTGCAATTTTTTTTGTCTTAGGTATCTTAAATTCTTTATATATTTTCTTAGTCAGGGTTAATTTTTCTCATTTATTTTATGAAATGTTTGAGAAAAATGTTTGAACATTTATTGGCATGACTGATTACTGTCTCAGAAGAGTTATTTTAATAACAATTGTGATAATTATTTTATAAATGAAAATTCTGGTAATTATATTAATAATAGTGTGTTCTTTTCTGTTCTGTTCTGTTTTGTTTTTTATTATTATTTATTTTTGCTTTCAGAGCTCGTCACTATATTGGTGGCTGGAACGGCTGGGCAGAAAGAAAGGGGCTCCCTCTTCAGGAAAATCCAGATAAGCCAGCGACAGGTGCCTAGAGACAAGTGCAATATAACCAGAAAACCATGCAACAAATTTATTTTCAATAGTAGCATATCCACAAGATGCAAACTTTTTTTATGAAAGGAGGAGCGGTCAGCGAATGATGTAAAGAATTCCACATGCAATCTATTAAGGTGTATTCAAATGATTAAAGATTATAATAATTATAATTATATGAGCAAGTGAATTGTTGAAATTTTTCCATGTAAGAAGGAAAATATGACTGGTTTAATTCAAAACTCCGACAATAACTGGGCTATTCCACAATCCAAGTTTTGGTGTTTCTTGACTCATGTATAATCAGGGTTAAGGAGTTATTTTTGTAAAAAAGAGGATTGCATATATTTTATTTTAAACAGTGAATTTGACTGCAAAAAAAAAGGTTATAATGTATTTTTGAATTATGAGGGGAAGGGAAAGTTAATTTGCCCTGTTGTTTACATTTGCATCAGATCATTTCTGTAACTTTGATTAAAGGGAATGATATCCGTACTTGTAGAATTTGCCTAAAAACAGTAACTATGATCTGAAATGTTGTTCATTATACTTGTGTATCAAATTGGAAATATAAATCGTACGTAAAGGGTGTTTGGATTTGTGCAAGGTTTGTTGGTGCGCCTAGCGGTTGAGCATAAATGTTTACTTATTTTTAAATTTTTTATTTACAGTGACATTTCTTTTTGTTTGTTTGTGGACGTTTTTATCCTTTAAGGCGTCTAGTAGTCGGGCAGTCTACACTGCTGATATCAGTAACGCTACCTGTAACAGAGGCTTCCATAACACAATAGATAACACACGGGAGTTCGTGTAAATAGGAGGAAAATCGATACTACCTCATCAACTGAGGGACAGTCAATCGACTAAAAACTCTCGCAACTTTTGATGTGCCTAGACTTTATCTTTCTCTATAACCCCAAAGCCCTTTGCGTCTTTTTGAAAAATATGCAATTTTTTAAAAATACGCAATAGGCAATTATTTCAATTTTCTTCTATTTGGCTGTCAGGTACCTTTAGGAACGAGAAATATCTTTCCCGCCCTAGTAATTCAAATCTCTATTTTAAAAACGATGCAATAAACAGATTAATTGTACAATTTTGAAGAGTATTTTACTATTTCTAATTAAATAAATGGGAATGCTATCCGTATCGGACTGTAATCTTAATGCTGCACCTAATATTCGTTATTTAGTGTAATTGTATTATCGATCACCTTCGCAGGACTGTCATCAGACATCATACACATTTATCCCTGGGAATAAAAAATCCTAAAGTTGATTTTCACCAGTTTTTTTCGTTTTTTTTACACATGAACCCATTTGTCATCTGTTTTTGATCATTTTATAAGAGAAACTTTGTGTGTGTGTACATGTGTAACTTCAAAATGCCAGGGCCCCGTAACTCGAAAGCATCGCGCGTTGCGACCGAGCGCAAGCGTCTCGATTCCATAACTCGCCCATACTCGTCCCATGTAACACACGGTAGCCTCTGTGTGCTATCGCTGTTCGCAATACGCGATGCTTTCGAGTTACACAGCTCGGATTCACGACCGATTTATGATCAAAAGTCTTTGTATATATGCCCACAGAAGATGGTTAAGTAAGTGAAGTGTAAGGATGTGCACAATAAAACAATTCGTGTATCAAAAACTTCGACCAAATAATGTAATTTAAGCAAACAAAAGCATCAGAAAAACCCCATTAATTTCGATGTCATTCAGCGATTCATGTCAATTTTTGTCTGTAACATATAAATTAAAATAAATATTTAAGGACAAATCATTTGCGAGTGCAAACTAGTACATTAAACACGTGGTCGCTGTTTTTGTTGATGTCGTTTAATATCTATCTATTTATACGTTTCTGTCTAAAACCACTGAAAATTAAAATTGTACACAAGGGAAATAAGGGAAAACCAATCAACGTGCAGATTTCTAGGAAAATAGAGTCTACCTCTGCCAATCACAGTCAAGATTGACTTTGTCTCCTAGGCAACGCGTTGTCAACGTTTGTTTGTGTCATAGAATAATTGTGGAATTCTTGTCTGTCGATATTTAGTTTAAAGACCAATGTATAGAGGTGCGGTTGACGCACGTTCTAGTGAAAATGTCACGGAGAAGTTTCACCATTTTCTTGGTTCTGGGAAGTTTTGTATGTACTTCGGTTGTGAAATCTTGGCAAATTGAAGATGATCACGTGTGCCAGGTGTTTGGAAACGAAGTCCTGTGTCAGGTAGGATGGTAGTCAACTTAAAATATATAGAAGATAAATTAAGTCCATAATGAAAATATCGAACACTAGATTACTTAAAAAGGTCATGCTGATACAGTGCTGGTAGAAATATGCCTCCCATTGACCCCTTGAATCTTATGAATACCATGATTTTGACAGAAATTCAACAAAGATCCCCATGATTCAGTGAAGTTCTTATTATTTTGATTCAGTGAGACCGTGCTTCAATATAATTGCATTCATGTCGAAAACGTCCTTTTCTGAGAGAAGTTTAGAATTTGAACGGCTAAAATATGGATTGATCTCTTTAAAACAACAGAATGAGATTAAGGACTTAGTACAGAAGGATCACACTAGGCTGCCTCTGCTTGTGGGTGTCCTTTTTTCGACACAACCTAAAGGATTTTATCACAGGTATCATTCCATTACATTTAATTGATGACAGTCATTTAGATGAGATTTGTGCGAAAATTCTATACTTTCCATACACTTTGTACACTATAAATTTTAACTGGCTCTTTGCCTTTTATATGGATATCAAAACGGGGTTACACGTGAATACCTACAAATAGTGAACAATTAGATCGAGATACCTTATGAAATACATCACAATTTATTCTAACTTATGTATAGGCCTACAGACTGAAAGTGTTCCAAGTCAATACTTGATGCAATGATTTCAAATATGAAAGGCAAAACACACTTGGAGTAGAATGATGAGCCTAGAAGAACATTTAAGTGAAAGAAAATGTAAAAATATCTGTCTGCCAATGTTCCTCGGATACAAGAATCACTGAGAATAAAATCGGAGTCCAAGTGACTCCAAACTTGGAGTCCAGCAGTGGTGCCTAAAATAACTGCCAAGTGGAGTCAAGTTGACTCCGATGGAGTAACGCCATCCCAGACCCGACAGGAGGGTCACAATTGACTACATTCACACATCCCTTCATCCCTTGATTTATCTCCTCAAAAGAGTCACCATGGCCCCATATTAAGGAATTTTTGACTCCTTGGCACATTATGAAAACTAGAAAAGCACTCCGAGAGCGCAGACCTCCGCCAAGGCAGCATTTTTTTTATTATTATTGATTGATTATTGATCCGGATCACCACCAAAAACTAATCATCTGTTCCTTGGCCCACTTCTGACAGTTCCTGAAAATTTCATCAATATCGGTCCATAATTTTTTGAGTTATGTTGATGATTGATTTTTGATTATTGATTGATTATTGATCCGGATCACCACCAAAAACTAATCACTTCTAAGTTAACCCATTTCTGACCTACCCTGAAAATTTCATCAAACTCGGTCCCTAACTTTTTGAGTTATGTTGATGACAAACAAACACACAAACAGACAGACAAACAGGGGTGAAAACATAACCTCCTTGGCGGAGGTAAAATAAGATCCAAGAATGACAACAATGCCAAACGGGTAGACACGGGTTCCATTTATTTAAGACTGGAACATCCCCTGTCGTGCTTGAACCCACGTCCTCCCGCTCTGGAGTCGGGCATTCTAAGCGCAAGGCCGCCCAGTCGCACATAATGTGGAAGAATCAATAACAAACAATTTGTAAATCTGGTAATAAACAGTATGATATATATATATATATATATATATATATGTATATATATATATATATATATATATATATATATATATATATATATATATCTGACCTGTAAACCAACATATCACATAAAGGGTGTGGGCAACTGAAAGCCCGGGCCAGTAATAAGTGCACGAGTTCTGCATGCAGAAACACGCAGAAAACCACTTGTTCATGCATAAAACCAACTATGGCCAATAAAGTAATGTTTATACTGACAAAGAATGATGAAAACTGTTCTCTCCACGCCGTCTGCTCACTGCCATTACAAGTACTGAAACGAGGCTTACTGTCCAGCGAGCGAAAATAGTCGGTGAAAGGGGTCAGACAGACACTGTGGCCCCCGGTAATTTGACTCTGATTTTAGATGATTTAAATGATTCAGTGTACACTCTATGCAAAGGAGGTTGGGACGATAAAAATTATTTTTATTGTGAGGTAAGCCATTTTCAGTGCTATTTCTTGTAGACCAATTAAGAAGCAGTATAAACTGAAAACAGGACCATTAGCAGGGCCGTAGCCTGAGAAAATTGCCAGGGGGGCAGTAAGCGGACACGAGGGGGCGAAGCCCCCGAGGGGGGAGGGTGTGGAAGGGGGTTCCCCCTCCCAGGGCGTGGAAAATTTTTAAAAACTGTATGTATAATACTGCATTCTGGTGCAATTTAACTGTTATTTATTGCTCAATCAGAAGTCAGAAATTGTGGGTTCATTTTACCATAAGTACTGTCATTTTTTCAACACAACAAGGGAGGGTGAGCTTTTTGGCATGAACTGAGTNGATTAGCACTTTTTGAGATGTAGCAAAATACACGCATACCTGGTAATGTCACTTATATAACCTCTGGACAAATTATATCCCATCTAAAGATAAACTTGGGCCGTTTCACTTAGAGTAAAATCCAGTAAAATAATATCACCGAAATAACAATATACAGGGTTGCTACTTAATATGGCATATTTTTTATCATTCTTATTTTTGAGTGCTGATTAAATTTTTTTTTTGGCTTGAGTTATCAAAAAAGTATGTCACTGAGTGATAAAAACATCCAGTCTTCTGTTGTGAGATATTTTGGTCAATGATATCAAATCTGACATAAGATGCCATTCTAAAGAAAGGGACACCCCAAGAAAACCATATCAACAGTTTGATGTCAGTATTAACTTTAAGCTAAGATATTAAAGAAAACGATAGCCTCCGGACAGTGATATGTTACACAGTCAAAGAACTCACAACAGTAAATCATGAGAAGTCAGTAATTGCGGGTATGACCTCCAGCAGCCGCTTGCAGCGCCCTCATCCTACATGGCATACCCTGTGACACGTTTTTTAGAGTTTGGATGGGGATATCATTCCACGCAGTGATATTTGCCTGTCGCAGTTCATCACTATTTACCGGCCGATGACCAAAGCTATTAATTCTGTGAGTTCCTTTTGCCCAAAGTTTTTCAATTGGGTTCATATCTGGAGAGTTTGCAGGCCAGGGCAGTCGCTGAACCCATTGGTTTTGAAGAAAAACAGTGATTCTGCGGCCTCGATGTGGGGTTGCGCAGTCGTCTTGGTACAAAAAGTTGTTCCTGAAGATCGAAGCATTGTTTGCTGTAGAATGTCTCTGTAGGAATCCTGGATGAGGTTGCCTCCTAGAAAAACCAACTGGTTCTGCATGGGCACCGACATGAAATGCTCCCCAAACAGAGACGTTACCATCCCCTGCTTGCACCCTAGGCAGTACACAATCATCGTTTTATGCCCCTCGTGCACGTTGGTGGACACGGATTCGACCATAAACCCTAAAAAATCCATATTTGGCCTCATCACTGAAAACGACGTGATTCCAGTGTTTTGGCAGCAAACGCACGTGGTCCCCAGCCTATTGCAGACGTCGCTGTATATGACCTGCTGTTAACAGTGGTTTCCCTACTGACCTTCGTGCAAAATAACCGGATTGCAGTAATCTCTTGTTCACGAGGGACCTTGAAACGGGTGTTTGAATGACATTCTGCCTCTCTTTTCTGAGGACACTGGTTGTCTTTGTACGACCAGCACGGCGTCCTCTAAGGAGAAGGCGATCCTGTCTTCTTGGTGTGATACGCGGACACCCTGGTCGAGGTATTAGAGTAGGTGCCCCTGTTGCAGCATTTCTTTGGAGGACTTCACAAACGGTTCCTGATAAATGTTGAATTACCTGGCAATGGCTGTCCGTTTCTGGCCATTTTCTCCGAGAGCAAGAATCCCATAGTAAACTGCGTTGCTTAGCTGTCGAACCATATCTTCACTAAGGTACCTGTCAAGTTTCAGAACGACCCCTTTGTTGCTTCTCTAAACACACTCCAAAGATTGACCAAACCCATGCGTTTTTATACAAGGGCAGAAATTGCCGAAAAGACCACCCCTCACATTTCTGACCACAGAACATGCAACTGCATGCATCAATTGTTCGAGAGTTGTGTGGTAATTAGGTAACACACCTGGCTACACATAGAGTGACACCTCAGCTTTGGATTTAAAGTAGTTAGAGAGAAATGAAATATTTTGTAGAAAATTTACTCGCCAAAAAATAATATTCCATATTAAGTGGTAACCCTGTATACAATGTAACTTGATCCACTCTTTTTTTTTTTTTTTTGTCTTCTCATAGAGTCGCTGTTGTACGTTATTCTGTTTCATGATATTTCACTTTAATAGAGCACCACTACCTCTATCCGACTCCCGTGTATCAGAGAGTGTGGCAGATACAAAGAGAATTGTCAATCGGCCCGGGTGTACGGTAACGACAGACAGTGCAGGATTCAACTAAAAACCAGTAAGTATGAACGCGCTGACACTATTAACCGCGTGATAAAATTAAGGAACGTTTTATTAATCTTTTAATCTATTAGTTTGTTGATTGATTGACTAAATGAATAATTTGCAAACCTGAACCACTGCTGATATGTCCCAGAAGTAAATGCGTCTTGCAGTAAACTTAACGTTTAGTGTTATCACACAATATACACTTTATGGCACTATTCATAATAGGGGAGGACTAACTAGTCCGAGGGACATGTATGACGACCCACTACAAAGCTTGCCGTCTAATCCGCTATTTGACACAGGATAGATATCCCGTGGGGAAGTATTTATGTGGATCGGACATATTTAGCCCTCGGACTAGTTATTCCCCTATTCTGAATGAGACCTATGTCTAGTGAGCATTATATCATGTCGTGTCTGAGCTACTATTACTTACTATAATATGAAAGTGTTACGCTCATTGTGTGTCTTTAATTTCAAGTTACGTGTGACAGAGTAGAGGGCAACATCCAGCAGTGGACGTGGAACAAGTGGTCTACGACCAGTGGCGGACAAGTGCTGGTCAGTTTAAGGAACCATTCAGATTGAGAAGATTCAGATTCAGAATGGTCTCTCCACCTCTCACACGCCTCCCCCCACTGCAGGGGCACAGTAATTAATACAACCGGTCGAGGGACAACGCGTGGGAGGCAAGTGAGAGGCGGAGAGACCATTACAGGATAAAGCGGTCTTCCTTCATGTAGGTCCGCCATTTTCAGGTGGCGGCCTTACTAGCACTCGGCTATTCTCAATCTGAATGGTCCCTAACAGTCTACTAGTAGCCTAGCAAATATTTTGTGTTCTTGAGATATCAAAAATAAATACATTAAAGGGATAATAACTCTTTGTATAAGATATATATCTCACAATAAAAACATTGTGAACAACTCATAGAAATATAATATATTTTGTTTTACCACAAAAATGGCAGTTATAGCTATTATTCTGATATCTGAGCTTGTTTTTAGACGACGTGACCTCCATTGATGGCTATACTCTGTTATAACACAAAAAAAAACTTTTTAGAAAAAAAAACAGGGACTAACTTTAAATGTAAAAATGGATTCATTAACCATCGGTAAGTATGGGAAAATTGTTGTTTACTCCAGGAAAATTCATTTTTTGGCCAAAACGAAAAGTTATTATCCCTTTAATGGTAGGCCTAATTAGATGGAACAGAGTCCATCAATTGAATAATTAGAAAAAATACAATAATTTTGGTGGCAATGTATTTTACTAGATAAAAGGGCAAGGAAATGTTCTAGAAGTTTTTTTTTTAATATACAGTCAGACAGCACTTTTGGAATCAGTTCATATGACTTTAACATACATCATGAAACACAATATCTATTGGTGTAGCGATTTCATGAAATTACACATTGAAAATAAGTAACGTGGAAACCAAACCAAATGAACTGGTTTATTTATTACATAACTAAAAACCATACAAAACTCCGAGTTTTAGAGGTCAGTAGACACTCGATATATATTAGCGGCAAGTATCCGCCTTTTCCAGGATATTGTTTTCAGTGTCCCCTGAAACCCAGGGTACTCCTCTATTAATACCACAGTGTACCTTTAACTTATAAATACTATCCATTCATTACAGAGTGTCAACTACATGAAGAAGAACGCATCCACCGCGCTGCGAGTCCGCTGGTCTGGAAGAATAAGGGGTGGTTACAGTTCCAACTACGGGTCTCGCTTTTACTTCACGTTCAATGGGGCACCTTGCTCTGAGCCTGCTGGTATCGAGGCCGTAGATTGGACTGGGGCTGGTAGAAATTATATTCAGCATACTGAATGTGAGTAGCATGGCTGACGTCAAACACTTTTTTAAGACTCTAGTGAAAGGATGTTAAGACACAAATATGAAGTTTTCTTGGATATGATATGATATGATATGATATGATATGATATGTATATTGAATGCACTTGTAAAGTTAGAGGCATATTGCTTCGTTTGCAGGACCTGCAATGACGTACTGTTCACCTTTTTCATTACATTTTTCTAGCGATATAATCTCAGTTATTTCCCTTTCCTCTGTTTTTTTTTTTTCATAATTTTCAGACTCACGTTTATAGACCAAATAATGATTTTCAAAAGGACTCAGACTTTTGCCCAGTATACTTTATACTAAGAATTCATGATTTACTAGCAGCAGGTTAAAAGCTATACATTGTGGTATATGTATCCTGTATCCCATATTATTTCGCAGTCGAAGGGCTTTGTAACAATATTCCGGCAGGACGCATTCAGATTGGTTTCAACGTGGGAAAACTGCCGGGTATATCATGGCAGCCGTACCTGGGGTGGTCACTTGGTAACTGCAAAATAACAGCCGAGGAAGTCGATCTGGGGGAGAACAAAGGTAGTATAGCATGGTTTGACGTAGCATGGATTGGCCTGGCATGACAAAGCATGATATTGAATGGCATGACATGGAATGGCATGGTATGAAATTCAAAATCATAGCACGGCATGGCATGGCATGGCATGGCTTGCATATAGTATAGCAAAATATGGCATGATATGGTACTGCATAGCATGGCATAATCACAAAGGAAGTTTGTTCGAAAGTTGGTAATGTGCTTCAGTTCAAAATAAACTTCAGTAACACTAAGATATGGTAACTAATGATCCACAACGCTAACTATTGTCATCATATTATAAAATGTACCTCGAGCAAAAATACTCTTAAATTTAACAAATTTTGGTCTATGTTTCTTTTGCGACAAGGAACCTTCATTGCAATAGTAATAACCTGCATTACAGGAATCAAGAATAGCGAGGATTGTTGACTGGTACCTGCAGCTACTCGATACTGCATGCTTGCATCAGTCTGTGTGTGTGATGCGTGTGTGTGTGTGTGCGCCCAAATTCTCACACAAATTTCATTTCTTTTAGGAACGTGTCCCCACCACACTGTTTTTAATGTAAAACAACATACCTTTGCCACAGCGGACACAGCTAGTGGGATATACAGCGCTTCGGTATGTGAAACTTGTTTACATGTATACGTGTATAGAGCTATACAATATGTGTAACCCGTTTATTTTGAAATTGATCTAACATTTCACGCAAAGCTTCTATCTATGAACCTTCATGATCAGGGTAATAAATAGGCTATCTTGATTTGTCATTAGCGTATCAAACGTTTTCTGAAAATATTTCGTTTAAAACAGATGAATCTTTTCTTACAAAATTTTCTATTTGTGGGGTTAAGGAAATATCAAATTTTAATGTGGCATTTTTATGTTGTACATGTATAGTTCATGTTTAACAATTGATATAGTACCTATCATGCACGTAACTATGGTTTGCAACACATAATTAATATACTTAGCAATGTACATTCAAACATATATTTATATCTCCCAGGCATTTAGTTACACCAAACTGGCTCCCGATACATCTCTCCGAGTACGTTGGTTTGGGACCTTAGGTGTGAAATCCCAAAGCCCAGCACCCGGTTGTTTGCGATTTTATTTTACCTTTAATGGAGAAGAGTGTAAAGCTCCCACTCCGATAGATGGGGCCATTGCATGGCTGACCGATCCCATCATCCGAACACAGACGACTCATTCAAGTAGGCGACGTTTTAAAGTCCTTCTTATATGCTCTAATTAATATTCTTTCCAGTCTATATATTCCATTGCGTTAAACAAACATTTTACTTGTTTGTAATTTAATAATCATAGATGCAGGTAGTCATAATGACGGCATTTCTGCATGATTGAAAAAATATGGACAATTGGACGTACATGTAAAAGCTTCATTTAGAAAGATTAAAAGAGAGAAAAATAGTCAAAAATTTTATCTAGGATAATTTTTATCAGTAAACATCCTTCCACCGTAGTACACATGTAGAACCTATTTGATTATCGCTCTGCTATTTTTTCTTTTTTAAGTTGAAGGGATTTGCCAAAATCTAGGCCAAGGAGATCATGCAGTTGCTTTGAATGTTGGACAATGTCTATTTGGCAACCTCAACCAAATGGATCCGGACCCTCGCGTCAATGACGTCTCCAGGATTATTGTGGAGGAAGTTAGACTTGGGAAGTCACAGTTTGCAGGTAGGGCTAGTTTTATTTTGGATATACACGTAGGCCTACTAGGGTAGTTCTTGGGGATTCCAGCACTTTGCCCTTTAACACCATGATGCAGTTGTATATCAGTGGCGGATTTGGAGGGGTCAGGGGGTCCTGAAATAATGAAAAATGCAGGCCCCGAACCCCACGCAAAGGGGGCCCGAGGGTCGGTATCGTATGTCATTCCTAAAAAAAGAAGCAGGCCCCCCTTCACATAATCCTAGATCCGTCCCTGGTTATTTACGATTTTTAAACGATTTTTAACGAGCATAAAGCAGCTAAAATTCAGTGTCAGTCGTTTGTTCTGTTATTCTTCTATTTATTTTTTCACTTTTGAACAAATGTTAAAAATATAGGTGCGCAAAATCTATATTTCCTCAAAATAAGGGGAGGTCTCGCACGTAAACTAAAAGGAAAATTAACAATTTCCGCCGACTTTAAGTACTCCTGCTCAAATATCGGATGTTAAATAAGAGGGAGCCTCAGCCAAGTGAGTTAACAAGGGCCTTCAACTTTTGTCACAGGGGACTTTTGTGTTTAGAAATCGACAAAAAGTTTTAGACTTGGTAAACTACCATTTTACTTCAAGAACCCACGAACTGCAACTTACACAAGGGTATAATCGTAAATTATGCTAGCTATGCATCCTTTTTTTTCAAATTTATATTTGTTTTGCTTATAAAAGGTCAGCTTTCACATTTTATCTGCTTTTTCGATTTCAGAGCAGGCGGTATTGCTCACGTGCAGCTTTGAATCCAGTAGTATCTGCGGTTTCACGCAATCAACTAACGACGATTTTAATTGGACAAGACGCTCCGGGGGCACCTCCAGTTCCTACACGGGCCCCTCATCTGCATACAGCGGGTCGTATTATATGTACATAGAAACATCATCCCCGGTAAGTGTATAAAATTTTTATTGATTGATCGTACTTTTCTATGGCAACATCAGTTTGAGCCAAAGAGAAAAGTGTTAAAATGGATTGCATTAGCATAAAATAAAATTTGGATCGAACTGTTGTAATAGACATATTGTATTGAAGAAATTAGAGCGCTTGCCTGGTCTTGTTATTGATCATCTACACTATTGCAATCTAGTGGGTTACTGAATATAACTGTATCATACCATTCCCTTTGAGAAACAGAGAGGAACAGGTAGTTTTAGTAAGGCTATCCGGTATTATATAAATATATCAGCACATGTTCACAAGTAAATAATTATATGCTATAATGTTAAAGAATTAAACGGCATGCTTCCACACTAGACAGTATCTGCGTAAAAGTTTAAAAAGAAAAAACTTAATTCCATCCCATTTCATATAGATATAGATATAGATATAGATATAGATAGATAGATAGATAGATAGATATTATGCGTGTGGTTTCATGGTTTTCATTTTTGCAATGAGATAATATTATAGCCATATATATATATATATATATATATATATATATATATATATATATATATATATATATATATAT